TAATAAATGCCTCACTGACATATTAAAAGGATTAAATAAATAACATGAAAAAGCATCTGTGGTAGAGCACTTTTTTTTTTTTTTTTTGTTTTTGGTTTTTTTTCCAGTACCAGGAACCGAACTCACGACCTCATGCTTGCCAGGCAGGCGCTGTGCCGCTGAGCTAAATCCCCAGCCCCTGTGGTAGAACTCTTGATAGAGAAATTCCACTTCCTTCCCCTGGGCATTGTCAGTTACCATCTTTGGCTTTAGTTTCTTCGTGTATACTAATAGCGTCCCTGAGAATCTGTGATTCTGAGCCCTCTATGTACTTTGACCCTTGTATAGTCAAGAAGTGTTGCAAGGATCCTTTATGTAACTAAGTAAGCTTATTTCTAGGAATAGAGAAAGGATAAACTAAAACCTCGTTATTTGTATTCCAAAAGCAGAGTTATTTGCTTTGATTTTCTTTCTCAGCAAAGAGAAATCTGAGCACTGACTGCATGGACTTAAAAGTTTCTTGGAAAGAAAATTCTGTTTGGTTCAGTCACATGACCAGAAAGATCCACTCAGGTCTTTGTGGACTATGGTATGAATGATATTAAAATACGTCATTAGAGTGACCGTATCCAGTTTCACTGTGTGCCCGCTGTTTGACATTTGAGAGGTACATATTTCCTGGCAAATGGAGGTGATTAAACCACTCGGTCCTTTGTTCCACAGGTGGATTTTCAGAAAAATCAGGTGAATGGAGCTCAGAAGAGGAGGAGCCAGTGAAAAAGGCAGGACCCGTGCAAGTCCTTATTGTCAAAGACGACCATTCCTTTGAGTTAGATGAGGCGGCACTGAATCGGATCCTGCTCTCCGAGGCCGTGCGGGACAAGGAGGTGGTTGCGGTGTCTGTTGCTGGAGCCTTTAGGAAAGGAAAGTCCTTCCTGATGGACTTCATGCTGCGGTACATGTACAACCAGGTTGGTGCGAGGTGCCTGTAGAAGTCTTCTTGTCCTCGGGCTTTTTCCACTTTGTGTAGAATTCTACTTTATGTAGTAGAATTCAGTGTTTTATTACTATTTTTTTAGAGCAGAATATATTTATTGGGGGAAAGAAAGCTTCTGTCTGAGAGAGGGGCAGAAGGGGGCCCGAGTGGGTTGCCCCTCTTCCTGTGTTCTTTATGTGCCTAAATACAAGTGCTGGGGTGTAACCTCTCGAACCTCAGTGCCGTGGGCGCAGACGGCTTTTCTCTGAAGCCGCTCTACAGCATTTCCCTGTGAATAAAGGTTTTCCTTTTTGAAAAATAGACACTAGCATAATGATATGATTGTAAACCTTCCCTATTTAAAATGTCAGATGACTTTTGCCATGACTTTTTTATTGTAATAACTTCTCTGCAGTGTTTACTGACATTTTCCAAGAATGCAGTAGTTAGAATATTTGACAGTGAACACTTGGATACCCACCGCCTAGATTCTTCTGTTAACATTGATATCCTTGCTTTGTCATATGTCTCCATCTGTTCGTTCTTCGTTCTACCTACCTATCACTCTATCTTATTTTTAATACATTTCAAGGTAAATGGAGACACTAGTATATGCATCCATAAATATTTTAATATATACCATATATTAAAATATATACCATATATCAAAATATTAGATATGTATTATAGATTATATAATATATATCAAATATATACCACATATATGGTGTATATTAAATATATATATACACCAAATATCTCCCTCTTTCTCTCTCTCTCTATATATATATTCTCTCTTTCTCTTTCTATATATATATGTCTCACAATTTTAGTTCTTATTTTGAGGTAAAATTTTCATACAAAGAAACACACAGATCTTCAGTGTGCATTTGCTGGTTTTTGACAAGTGCATATACCTGTGTAGTTCAAAACCTATCATCATTACCCCAGAAAGTTCTTATTAGCATTCCTTAGTCAGTCCTTACTTTACCCTATCCCCAGAAAAAACTCACAGTATCACAGTATTTTAGAAAACAGTGTGATACAGAAGTGAGTTTTTATTTTCTTTTTTGTTTTTTTTCTTTCCGGTACCAGGAATTGAACTCATGACCTTGTGCTTGCCAGGCAGGCACTGTGCTGCTGAGCTAAATCCCCAGCCCCAGAAGTGAGTTTTTAAAGAACCTAAAACAAATCCCAACTAGAATAAGTAGGAGATGAGGTGGAGGAACAGAAGGTTGGAAGTAGAAAACACTTCAGTACTTTCTCCTGTCTTCTCAGCAGAGGTGCTGCTGAGGTGAGCATGAGCGCTGAGCTGTCATAGAGCACTGCAGAGCTTTGCATTATGTATTTATATCACAGTTACCCACTTCAGACTGACCTTTATAGATGAGGTGCTTCTGAACAATTTCGTGATACTAGTTGTAATGCATTTCATCGCTAGCCTCAGTTCAAACAAATCAAGAACAGAACTACCAAAATAATTCAGGTGTTCAGAGAAAGCAAAGCTCCTGCTAATCCTGATTTCTAGCATTCCAAAAGTACTATGGCATTTAACACAAGTGGGAAAATTGAGTGAATGAAGCTAATATATTTTGGATAATAGTTTTAGGCATGTTCGTAATTTTAGCTGTTACAAATTAAAATGAAACCCTGTAATACTCAGCATGTTCCTTGTGAAGAGTGTTCGCTTAAATAAAAGATTTTACAGATTTTATCTTTTTTTGCACCTAGGAGAAAGCAAGACAACATGAGCACTTGTTTTACTGTTCCCTGAGTGAGGACATCTGTCATTGACTTGTGTAGGCCACATTCTACTTCCATTTCTGTATATATAATTGTCATTTATTTTTGTCTTTTTGAGACAGGGTCTTTCTCTGTAATTTAGTCTGGCCTTGAGATTACTATGTAGCCTAGACTGACCTTAAACTCACAGCGATCCTCCTGCCTCAGCCTCCCTAGTGCTGGGATTACAGGCATGTGCCAGCATGCCCAGTCTGTCATTCATTTTTTAGATGGCAAAATTTGATGTTAAATGTGACAATCTGTGTTCTTTTTGAGCAGCAAAATTGTTATTGAGCTTATCGTATATCTGAAACATATTAATCAGTAAGTAATTTTTGAAGAAATATTTGAGTAAATACCCAAATGAATGAAACAAGCTATACTTTCTATCTACTGAAGTAACTATTTGCAGATGTTTTCTTTGTCTTTCAAAATTATTTTTCAGGGTTACAGTTTTTATAAATATTTCAGGTAAATCATTGACCTAAGTCGATGTCACAATAATAATATCTTCCTGTGAATTCATGGTCATTGAAATACACATCTCAAGATTCTTTCAGGCAACATTTTACTAATTTCAGTTTCTCTACCAGTTAGTATTTCTTGACTACTTGCTATAAGGCCCTTCGTTGTGCCTGATGCTGTGGAAGATAGCAAAGAAGACAGGTTTCATACCCAGGCATCTCATGCTTTGACTCAGGAGACAGAACTGAGATACATGACATATCTAAGCATCATAAAACACCAATTTCTGTATTTCTGAAAGTAGTTCAGGGAAGGGGCATATCGAGATAAGCAGGAGTTGTCAGGGGAAGCTTCACAGAGATACTGACTGTGAAGGTGTGCAAGATCCAGAGCAAAAGAGAGGGGGAAAGTGACATTTTAGCCTAAGAGGAATGCGTATGATGAGTGTGATGTTTGCATTAAACAAAGGTCTTCTCCGACAGAGTGGAAGTTATGTATTGGAAATGCAGGGGAAATAAGATTGAATAGGCCAAATAACAGAGGAGTGTATGGAAGAACCAAAATGAGCTGTTTATAAGGTTCTAAAATTGCTGTATAAAAGACGATATAATAAAGTTTCCTATTATATAGATTTCTTATGAATTCAAGTAGGCTAGTACCAAGTTCCTTCAGATTGGTAAAGTTTTATACTTTAGTTAATAGCGATTTTACATTTGAGGATTATCTAATGAAGTTTTTTTTTATATATATTTTAAAAATAAAAGGAGGAAAACATTAACAGACAGACAACCTTTTACAAAATAGCAAAAGAACAGCACAGACAATACAGAGTTACAAACAAAGTGGTAGGAAATTAACAATGCTTGTTGTATTACATATTGATATCTTCAAAGTGGTTTCTCATGAAAACAGATAGAGACATGCAATGCTGATCAACCAAGGACTCATTGACAGTTTCTTTCAGCAAAGAAATAGAAGACAGTAGAACACCTATGTTAACTATCCTGTATACACATACATACAAAATTTCTCCTTCTTTCCCTTCTCTTACCCCATCCCAGTTGCCCTTTACCCTGGAGTGTTTTCCTATCATTTCACAATGTCTGTCATACCTCCTAGTTTAAATTAACACTTTCAGGTTTTACACTAGTGAGACAATGCAGTGCTTGCACATGCAGGTCTGATTTATTTCACTTATGAGTATGGTCTGTAGTTGTGACCATTTACCTATAAAAGCCTCGAGTTTATCTTTCTTTATAGCTGAGTAATATTCCAAAATGAAGAGTTTTAAAAACTCATAATTTAGTCTCTATAACATCAAAATTAGTGCAGCTGCTATTAACCAAAGTCACCAGCAACTGCGTCACTAACTCTAAGAGACCTTTTCTATTTCTTGTCTTACGTGATCTTCAGTTCTGATGACTGACAGATTCTTCTAGTTGCTGTCCATTTGGCTTCTTGAATCCCATGTGTGTCTCAACCCATCTACTCTTCCCCTACTCTGGCCCTGGATCGGGCCCTCAGTCACATTTTAGACCTTCAGAATAACCCCAGTTTTCATCCTTCCTAGCTGTCATTTTCCTCGTTCCTAACCAGTCCTTCACTGCTTCTAGGAAAACCTTTCTGCCATCACCTGTGACAGTCCCTGTCTGCTTGATGAGGCTCATCATCTGCAGGACACAGGCTAGCTGGCTTGGGCACTGTACCACTGCTCCTTTCAGAATCTGGCTGTCGGTTCAGCCTCTCTCTGACTCTACAAGCCCCACACCAAAGCGTTTGTGTATATGCTGACATAACGTGCTCTCTCTCTGTTCCTTCCTTCCTTTCTTCCTTCTCTTCTTCCTTCTCTCTTTCTCTTCTTCCTGCCTGGCCTCTTATCTTCTTTCCTTGAATGCCCTCTCCAAGGTTGTTCATTTGGAAAAGTCCTTAATATTTCTCAAATGCCACTTGTCCTGTGACGTCTGACCTGAGCAATAGTGAGGTGTCTTCTTTCCTTTGCTTCCATGTTTGCCTTACAGACACTTCCATGTTCACCTGCACATATTGCATCCTGGTGATTTGTTAGCGCGTCTGTGTTAGGCTGCGAGCTCCTCCTGGTCTAAATGATAGCTTTTTATCTCTGTATCACCGGAACTGAGTATCAAATGTAGCAGATGATTGCTCCTCTGTAATTATTTTTTGAATGAACAGAATTACTGTCTGAATGCAATAGATGTGCATATGTTGTTTCCTTTTGACTAGGGTTAGAGAGAATTGGAAAATATGAATAGAAAAATTATATACACATACCTAGTTTCATATCGTAGACTTTATTAAATTTATAGGAGTCAGTTGATTGGGTTGGAGATTACAATGAACCACTGACTGGATTTTCATGGAGAGGTGGATCTGAACGAGAGACTACAGGAATCCAGATATGGAGTGACGTTTTCCTTATCAATAAACAGGATGGTAAAAAGGTATGGCACCAGCTCTTTAAAATTGAATTTTGACTTGCAACAGTAACCTGGAAAATGCTCTTTTGAAAATTAATCTTGGCCATTTGACATGAAAATGAACGTGTGTTGGGGGGAGCATCTTCGCATGAGCCCTTGTATCATTTTGGCGGTCACGGTAGGCGGCGTCATAGGCATAGTAGAGCAGCAGCTCAATAGCGAACATTTCTACTTGGTTCCAGTGCTGTATGAAGCTTCTTCATGTTGGGTTACGTTGAAAATTAACCCTAACAGTGATTACACACATTATCGCTAATTAATGGGTTTTCCTTGGCTTTTGTGGCATGTGTAAGAAACTATCCATTAAGTATTCATTGATAATGCGTTTTAGTTTTTACGGCGTTAATGTCTTGCTAATCCTGGCCCTTGATGTCGTTAGTAATGTACTCTGCTTGCCCGTAGGTTGCGGTGTTACTGATGGATACTCAGGGAACCTTTGATAGTCAATCAACTTTGCGAGATTCGGCCACAGTGTTTGCCCTTAGCACAATGATAAGCTCAATACAGGTATGGAATAAAATCAATCCATTTTTTATGCATGATTCTTTAAAATTCATGCATTTCTACATACACATGGTAGTGAGACAGTCAACAAAAGTGGTAAATCGTTAACGTTATTTGGCTCAATTCGCCTACCAGTTCTTTTGATTTCCACGACAGAATTGTTCTGTTACTGTGGTCTGATTACTGATCAGTTTTCATATTGACTGCTTTAGTCAGAAGAGGTTTGATTATCTTATTGACACTTTTCTCTTTTAAGCCTACAATAAACTTAATAATGTTAAATCTTACTTGCAGATATTGTGACCACCTATTGAAAGTTAAGTTTAATGAAACAAGATTTGTAAATATACAATTTGTTTTACATAGCCAGTGGAAATGTTTCTAAATGTGAAATCAGTTTGTGTTGGGGGCTTTTTAAACACTGTAATTTAAAACACATTGAGAAAAGTAAATACCATATATAAAATTTTTACTCCATTTCCTTTCCTCTCTTCTCTTTTGTTAAAGTGTTTCGGGAGTTCCTGGAGGCTTTCCAAATTGTCCTAAATGTCATTGGAGAGTTTTACTATAAGCACAAAACATATAGCAGAAAATTTTAAAGATTTTTTTTAGATCTTTTATATTGCTGAAGAGAGCAGGAAGAGAGGGTGGTAAAGAAACAGAGCAGATAATTTTGAAAAGTGTGGTAGTTTAAGAAAGCAGGAAAGGCAAGGTAGTTAAGATGAGTAAGTCAAGCTGAGATTTTAAGTAGAGAGAACGGAGCTAGCGAACTGGCTGCAAGGTGTCATGTGTGATCAGGACAAGCAGGGGAGGGCAGATAGGAAGAGGAAGGGTAAGGTGAACTTTTTAAAGGACTTCAGAGTAGAAGTCATATAACCTGTGACTGATGCTTTTAAAAAATGTACTTCTTGAATGATCCTTTAATATACTGACTTAATACCTATTTTTAAAATAAATGACAGTAAAAGCCATCTATACCAGTCAGTTAAAACTAGATTGGCTTTGCCTTTTTATTATTTAGTATTTATATTTGACCATAATACATTAAACATTTTCATAGAAAAAAATCAGCTAACTCCTTAGTAATGACTTTTTTTTTCTTGTCTTTTTGAGACAGAGTCTCGCTATGCAGTTCAGGCTGGCCTGGAGTTTACTTTCTAGCCCAGGCTGGTCTTGAACTCACAAAGATTCTCCTGCCTCAGCCTCCTGAGTGCTGGGGTTATAGGCATGTGCCATCAAGCCCAGCTTACTATTTTTTTAAATTATTATTTGAGAAATGATTCATGATTTAAATACAAAGTGTACTGTGTGTATTTATACAGAAATACCATGCTTAATTTTTCTTTGAACTTTTTTATATTTATCTATTCCAAAAAAAAAAAAAAGTACTGCATGTTATGTCAATGCTGTGATTTGTTCATGAAACAGTATATAGATGTGTAATGTTACTAACATGATATTCAGAACCTAACTTTCATGTGATGGAGCTAAGACATAAATAAAATGAAAAATTATGAATAATTATAATTTTTCAAAACAATTTTCCATATGGTTTATTCAGATTTAGATTGTTACTATGTTGTGCTTGGAAGACTTACTAATATGCTGGCTAATTGTTAAGTTAGGTTCATAAAGTAATTTTAATATTCTGACTCCAGAGTACTGGCTATTATATTTCTAGAACGGTCATTATCATTGGATCCTATTTATTGTCTCTCAGGTTTTCTTTACCCTTCTGTCAAGGACTTACAGTTGTCAGTATATAAAGATGTGTATAAGAGAGTTCATTTTTGTAATAATTTTTAAATAGACAATGGCAAAGTAAGTGCTTAAGGTGATGTTGATTATCTCCTCATTTTGACTCTATTTCATAACCTAGGTGTATAACTTATCCCAAAATGTCCAGGAGGATGATCTTCAGCACCTCCAGGTAACAATATTTATACTTTTTTGTACACAACACCTGGTAGTCTTTTGAACATACACGGCAGAACTTTAGGGAATGGTTTAGAATTATAACCAAATAAAGGTTTTCTTCTTTTCAGGTTTCTTGTTTAGTTCTTCTTTGGATGTGTTCCTCCTTTTTTTTTTTTTTTTGGTCTTTTTGAGACAGGGTCTCGCTATGCAGTTCAGGCTGGCCCTGAACCCATTTTGTAGCCTGGGCTGGCCTTGAACTTGGAACGATCCTCCTGCCTCAGCCTCCTGAGTGCTGGGATTACAGGCATGCGCCACCACGCCTGGCTTGGATGTGTTCTTTCTAATTCAGTTTTCAAATTTATTTTTTTCCCATAAAGCTATTTGCAACTACTCCATATGGCAAAAAAGTGGGGAAGAAAGTCTTTGGTTTAAAAATTACCAAAAATGTGAAGTTGAAGTCTGAAGGTGAGGGATTTGACCATTGTTAGTATGATATATGCTAGATTTTTTCCTCTGGACCACTGTGCAGCTAAGAGCTATTAGAGGCTGTCTGACAATTCACAGAACTCTACTTTAGGTCAGTAGCACCTGATTTAGCCTTCAGATTTTATAGATGATGAAGATGAGGCTGAAAGAAATAAATGACTTGCTGAGGCCCATATGGCGAATTAGTGATAAGAGTAGGAATAAAAATCTGGTCATCTGCCTGGGCCCAGTGCTCCTCCCACTCTCCAAGCAGTGCTTGGCTCTCAAGTAGAAGACTGTTTCCTAAAGATGGTCATTTCTGGGACACCGTCTGCTCTCCTTCAGTTCATGTTATTTTGGATGGATACCAAAACTCATTTCTCTGATGGTTTTCCATCTGTATATTTTATAGAAAAATTCGCTCTCGTTATATTATTTTATCTTGGTAATCAGAGCCATGTAACATAATATGAAAGTTGTAATACATCTGAAGGACCATAGAGCAACGTAATCTATGATGTGGAAAATACCAAATGGAGTTCTACTGAGTACATTTTATGACACTGACCACTTATGACAAATAGACAATATGCCGAGTAATTGTTAGATGCTTTACATAATTGAAGTAATTACTGTGGGCATGTGATAACCTAGCTGATTACTTTTCAAGTTAATGGCACAGCACTGTTGAATTTAGGAGTTTCTGCAAAAGGATTAATTTTGGAATTTGATACTGAGTCAGCAGTCTTTTTGAGGTCATTTAAAAATGCTCCTATAAATGATAATCCCTCCGCCTTTCTGAGAAGTGATTAGGAATGCAAGTCACGTTAGTACACGATGGCAGTGAGTGTTTAGTTCGTAGACCAGCTGCTTTTTAGACAGATGTTAGACTTTCTTTCAGTCACTTTGGTCATGGCCCTGTTCTTACCCTTTGGTGTCTGAATTCCCGTTGCTCCCTCAGGAAAGGTCGTGTGGTGCTGTGGGTGCTGTCCTAAAGGGGCAAGCGTTAGGCATCCTTTCCTGTCCAGCTCCAGCAAGCCACGACAGCTTGTTAGTCTTTATGAAGACTGAATGGAAACCCATCCAGCCAGTCTTGGTAAAACTCTCTCAAAAACCCCATCACAGTCACCTCCTCAGGTTTACTTTCTCCAAAATACGGCATTGCTAGCAACGTAAAACTTCATACTATGGTGCCTCATGATCTCTGTTGAGAGCAATAAAAAGTAAAATATGTCAGTGTATTTGATTCACCACTTTTTAAGCCAAATGCTTAAGGCCTTTGTAATAGCCAGGTCACAGCTTTTGTAAATGTACCCTGCATGATTTATGTCTTTCTAGTCTAATTGGGGCAACTTCTGCTTTGAAAGAGGGTATTTCCTTCTTCTCTTCAAAAAATTTTCCTGCATTTTAAATATAAAAGGTACTAGTTTCAGGGCTGTGGGGGACATATCTTAGTGGTAGGGAGAGCATGAGCTTAGCATGCATGCAGCAGTTCAATCCCCAGCACACACAGAAAAGAAAAAGATACTTGTTTTAAAATGAAAGTTTATTTTAAAAATATATGCTGCTTTATCTATTCATGCTTATTTCCTAAAATGATTAATTTTAATTGCATAGTATTCTGTTACAGCTAGGGAAAAATTGAAGGGAAGAAAGTCAAGAAGTGAAACTGAAAATACTGAACTCTTTTTCTCTTTTCCTCTCTCCTTCTCTCTCTGTCTCTCTCTCTGTCTCTCTCTCTGGGTGTGTGATTCCCGTTTCAGCTTTTCACTGAATATGGCAGGCTGGCCATGGAGGAAACATTCCTGAAGCCCTTTCAGGTGAGTGAGGGTTGAATAATGGTAAATTCTTACTAGATTTTACTGAAAACTACGACCAGATGTATTAATTAGTGAGGGCCAGGTTTCCCTCTTCTTTTCATTAAAGAAACAGTTTTGAATACCTATTTGATATGAAGAGGAGGTAGAAATGAGGAGTAAAAAGATGTATTAGATAGTCTGGTTCCTTGAAGAGCTCGTCTTCTCTAAACACCCTACAGATGTCACTGAAGTCAGGAGCAAATTGATGAATGTGTGAAACATAAAAACAAACAAGACTCCTGGGGATTGCAGGCTAACAGCAGGGCAGCATCTGAGCTTGGGCTGAGTAGTGCTGGTCCTTCTAATTCTACCCTTCTTTTATACTGAGGACAAGAATCTAAGTCAAACAGCTCTGTCAACTGTACTTAGAGAAGGTGCAGACTCACACACCCGTGTCTGTCCATCTAAAGCGTGACGTCTGCAGCCTGAGAGCCAGAGGGAGCCCAGGGTAAGCTCTGCAGTTTAGCTCCTTCTACAGAGTCACGTCTGCAGCTGCGCTGGATCGTAACCTGAGGAGAGGATGAGCACATGGAGAAACTGAATGACTGATAAAGACAGAGTACAGGTAGTGGCTCTGATGCAAGTCATTGAAAAGGATCCTTATTCTCTACTGCGGCATCATAAATCATCTTTAGATCACAGACTTACTGTCTCACACAGTTCTTGAGCATCAGGAATCTGGAATGGCTCCGTTTTGTGGTTTTGGCACACGGCTTCCCATGGAGTTGTGCTCAAGACACCTCCACAGAAAATTTAAAACTTGTCTGAACACGCAGGGCTGTTAACAAGATAGCAAGAAATTACTAAGATCCGAAGGATATGGGTCAAGGAGGGGGAAAACTAATGTGGCTGTATTAATCTCAAATAAAATAAACTTTAAGAAAAAAAATGACTAGATATAAATGGGTTATTTCTTAGTACAAGAAGGAATTGTGAGTAAATGAATTGACAACTGTGTAGTAAGTGTAAATAAACATTGTCTTTCTATTAAGTAATAATTTCTAAGTAATAGCAGCAAACAATTGGAGTTAACCTAAGCAAATGCCCTAGAGTAGGCATACTCAGGAAAACCCTGCAACATCCAAAGCAGTGAGCTAGAAGCATATGGAGTATTCTGAATAGCTTGTTAAAAGTCACACGAGTTAAGCAGGAAAAAGTGAAAGGTGTGTGTCATGATACTCTTTGTGATTACTTAAAGTGCTCTACACACTAACATTGAAGTGGTCTGGACAGGAGAGGACAGTTGAAGAATGAGAGTGGAGACCTGGGGGAAATACGGTTCAGTACAGCAAGAAAGGGGCTTTTGCTTGGAGAGGTGCTGGTATGCTGTGGCGGAAGGAGCATGGATCTCTCCAGGGCCAGGGAAGGACAAAAGGAAAAAGCCGGTAGAAGAGAACCAGTTCTGGATTACAGGCTCCCTTGTGGCTCACAATAGCTGGACTCTTGTCTTTCTTTTTAAATCGTGTGTTAGTTTGATAGCATAAGTGTTGCATGGGAGTTACACCATCGACTTGACTGTCTCTTCTCTCAGAGAGAAGCCTTTCCTTCTTCCTTGCCTTAGAACCTCTGGCATGACTCTTGTAAATTCTAGAAGGAAGCTCAGGTCTTACCAGCAGGTGTCACTGCTCCTTACCGGATACACTGAAACAAAAGCTAACCGATGCTATGATGAAGGAGAGAAAACAGAAAGATAGAGTTAGTGCCTTTGGTAAAAAATGCCAATGACTTGAAAACAAAATAGAGAAAAATAAACCTTTAAGAGATCAATACTTGTTAGTAAACTGTTGGCATGAAATATCAGTGAAGAGAAAAAATTTTGATTGAGTGGGTCAACAATGAGTCCTAAATATGTTTGGACTTACAAATCTGAAATTGAAATGGGAAACTCATTAAGCAATACAAGTGACATCGAGGAGGCATGCAATTGAGATTTAAGCAACCAAATTCAAAACAAAAAATGCTACACATCATAAAATATAAAATGCAAGTATATTCAAATCTTGGGACATTTAAGATATTGGTAAAAATACTTCACATTTAAATTAGAAAAAGCATAGAGAGAAAAATAGCAAGGTAAACTAACCTTTAAATGAAATTTCAATTAACTCAGCAAGATTTTTTAAAATCAGGTCACTGCTTCTTTTTTTTTTAATTTTAGAAATAAAAGGAGGAAAATACTAACAGATCAACAACGTTTTACAAAATAGCAAAGGATCAGTACAGACATTACAGAGTTACAAACAGAGTGGTAGGGAATTAACAAT